AGGGCGGCTGTGCGGTGCCTCTGCTTCTCCCCGTGAGCTTTCTGTGGCACTGACAGACCCCGAGCGGCCCCTGCCCCCAGTCCCCTTCGTGACAAAAGGAGCAAAACCTGGACCAGCCAAAAGCAGCATGAACTCAGCTTCTGGTTTAGCAAGAGACGAAGGGAGGAGTAATGAGGTTTTCAGTTACCTATATTGGCCTCGTTCGAGATGGTAGCTGTTGCCTTCCACAACTATATATATGGTTAGTTCATTGGTTTGCTTTTTCACTAAAGAAAGCGAGAACCACCACCACCCGTTTTTATATAAAGCTATCAAAAAAGCGAGCTACACAGCTGAAACTTCTGAAAATGCAAGAAATGGGAGGAGGAAAACAAGAAATGCTTTAAAAACCCAGAAGCCTGTTTGAGGGGAGAGAAAAGTTGGAGAAAAGTAAACAAGAGACAGCCCCTACTGTAAGCAGGACCTGAACAGCATTCCTAAAAACAAGATACTTGAGATACCGCCACAGATAGCACGTCTTTCTGATGCCAACTGTAAGAGCCCGCGACTACCTGCAGAAGAGAAGCCATTCTACCAACCCTTATTGTCCAAGGTACTACAAAAAAGCTCACTGGAAATAGAATTGTTTAATGTTATCTTTCTACGCCAAAAAGAAAAAAAATTATCTATTTCATGGTAGCCAAGGTAGTGGATCCACACCTAGTAATGACTTGTTCTGAAATCGTATTTAACTTGACTGTATGAAACGGCACCTTCTCCCTCGCAAGTGCCCACCGTACCGACTTTGCAAACGACTCGCACAGGAATCTCTTGTACTTCAGGTTCCTGCTGGGAGCGTTGGTTCCAGCAATTAAAGTCACACATAGGCTTTACTTGCCACTGCTGTGAGTATTTAAAAAGGAATTTGCTTATCCCGAAAGTCCACGTTTGGGCAAATACCCCATGGCTCTAACAGACCAATTTTTGGCACCCAGCTAAGAGGGATTTTGTTGCACAGGGATACTGTTTTGTACGCTTATCTGACTCAGATTCAAAATAGCTGTTTTCTCAGGCTTGTCCATTCAGAATGATATCATGTCCCAAGCACTCTCGTTAAATTAATTGCCTGAGTTTTCTTTGTTTTACGTAGTTGGATAAGTAAGGCTCGTTGCCTGTGAGCTCATGGAAATAACTCCATTTGAACAATCGTTCCATCCATCTCTCTACCGTCTTTGTAGAAGATAATTAAAAACCGCTTCCCACCCCGAACAGAAACCATTTGTAGCCATGACACAGTTTGCAACCATTTTTTTCCTAGGATCCTTCTATTCTTCCCATGCCAATTTATTAAGTATCAATTAGATTGGGTTTAAAAAGCAGAAATCAAAATAGCTGAACAGCTATGAACATTTTTTTCCTCGCACAGGGGTTTAATTTCACGCAGGTAGAAGCTGCGATGAAACACAGGCACAGAACAGCTATAGTTGTGTCCAAATGTATCGAATATTACTTATCCTCTTTAACAGCAAAATGGCATTTTACCCTAGAAGTGAGAATAGCACAAAACACGGAACCAAAACGCAGGTTTAAAAGCGAAAACAGTCTTCCAGGACAAGCCTCGACATTACTGCCTGTGCAACCCGGGATATTTTCCCCTTTAGAAACATGGAGGCGCCATGAAAACTACTTTTTCTGCTCTCTAGAGAGGTAGATCGCCCCCGGTCCCCTCTATTTCTTGCTGGGGTAAAGGGACAGTTGTCACCACTTTTCCAAAATAATAGATGGCTGGGCTGGAAAGATGAGAGTCTGTCTCCGGAGGAAGGGAAGTGACTCACAGCTGAACTGGGAGAAGTTTGGGGACACAAAAGGCAGGAATTGGGTCCTACGGGGCCACAAGGCAAGGGGAGGAGGAAGGGCCCCCACATCTGAAACAAAGCACATAGATTTCATCCTCCTCATTGCAGTCTGCGCTGAAGAAGAGTGATGGCCGGGTCAGGACTGCCGTTGCCGCCATGCCTACATCCCCCTCTCCATCTTCTCCACAGCTGTGTTCATGCGATGGACCGCACAGCCCTGCTCTGGCTATGGACACCAGTGAGAAGAACATAAGGAGAGGGTGTGCATCTCATGGTTTCTGCACTCCCCCCTGGGCAGCGAAGCCGCTGGCTGCCTCTTGTTTAAACTACAGCATCGTAAAAAATGGGTGCCACTTGCAAAACAGAGCAATGTACAGGAGAGTCTCATTCACATGCACAAGGTCGCTTGACGTAGCAGGAAGAGCAACTTTCCCAGGTCTCGGACATCTGATGTATCTGTAGAAGGCCCAGAGCCAGGGAGATGATCTACACCAAAAGCACTACAAATTGTCATGTTGCTAAATAGCACCTTAGTTCCAGCTTTGCCTTATTCCAAACCCTGATATATACCTTGTCACATACCCTAACACTTAAACATGAGCTGTCATGGAATAGGATCAAAGAGAAAGTCCACACCCAAGAAATGCCATGCCAGATTATTTTCCTCCCTTCACCTACAGGAAGTTCATCTGAAGAACCTTCTTTATACGCAGGCGTTATGGAAACACAACAGTTCCCATACACAGCAGAAGGACACAACCACGGCTTGGGCCAGCCAACCAAAACCAGCTTGCAGTCTCAGTCTCCCCCGCACCGTAACAACAGCAGTAAAGATGGGCCCAACGTGAGTTTTTAGGATGTTTTCAATCAAAATATGTACCTGCTATCACAGTAGGCTGCCCCCTC